GAATCCCACAGCTGACTACACATAAATACTTTAAACTGTAATAGAGTACTGTACGTCAATCGGGGAGAAAACTCTCCAGTTTCAGGCCTAATAGGATAAAAAAATAAAAATTTAAGACTCGACCTTCTCCGATTTGCAGGAAACTTTGCTTAGTTATATGTAGTTACATCATTCCCATTTTTGCTAAAATTCTGCTATTTTGGAACTTGTATTTTTTTTTCAAAATGGTGTTTTTTTAACTAGCTCGTTTATTTAAAAGGCTCAGTCGTGTGTGACACTTTGCGGAGCCAAAAATCAGTAATGTTCGAATTTACATTTTCAACAGCAGTAGTTTTTGGTTAGTATTGGGTACCAATTACTCTTGGAGGCCTCGAGGTTAATGGGTAAAAAATTCGATTGGAAAGAGCTATGTAGAAAACTGCTTTCAAAAGCCTCCTTCAGAACTCTCGAACGGTTGACCAAATCCTGGCTGGGCAGGGGCAAGTAGCACAGAAACAGAAGGACAATAATAAGACTGGGACACAATGGCTGAAAATTGTTTGGAAAGGAGGAGATGGTCACATCAAACTCTAACATCAGACAAACAAAGGAATTCGAAGATCACGGGTTCCCAATACATCTCTTACTTCACGGAAGGGTTGTCTACCTCGGGCCACTAGGGTATCCAACAGTCGTGCTCTGGAGGCGTCATTACCCGGGCAATACCAAACTGCGTGATCGATGTCATCATAACCGGTTCGGCACCTACATATATTTTTGTCAACGAGGTTTATTCTGTAGAGATGTGCGTCTAGCGAGTAATGATTGGACATAAGTCTTGACATCACGCGAATGAATCCCCGACTTACATCTAGACCTTGGAATAATGGAATGTAACCACCGCCCAAGAGAATTACTTGTCCAATCGTTTTGCCAACTTAAAAGAGAACTCTGACGTGCTAATGGGAAAAATTCATCATGTGAAATTCTTCTATCATAAATCTCGCCTTGTTGTGCGCCCACCTTTGCGAGAGAGTCTGCCTTCTCATTGCCTGGGATTGAGCAATGTGAGGGGACCCATACAAAGGTAATCATATATGATCTTTCGACCAGCAAACTCATCTGCTCCCTTACCTTTGAAAGGAAATAAGATGAGGGCCTACCTTGTTTCATCGACCCAATAGCCTCAATCAAACTGAGACTATCCGAGAAGATCAAGTAATGATCAATGGGCATGTCGGAAATCATCGCCAATGCGAAGTTGATTGCTGCTAGCCCAGCAACATAAACGGAACAAGGTTCCTGAAGTTTCCGAAAGGCGGTTGAGTATTCATTGAAGACGCCGAAGCCAGTCGATCCATAAATACGTGATCCACCAGTGAAACATCTTCTATTGCAATCGACTTGTTGGTATTTTTCAGCAAAAATACGGGGAATTGAGATAGGTCGAGTCGATCTGGAACTCCTTGAATCGCCTGTTTCATGGAGAGATCATAGTCAATGGAGGAACTGAAGTTAGTAAAGCATAAACGAGGGGGTTATAGCACGGAAGGCTAATATCCGACGACATATAATTAAGATAGATTCGCACGAATCTAGACTGGATGCGATGTCAATTATACAAGGTCTGACCCAACCGGCTTATTGGTATTAGTGAAATGTGAAAATGTCTAGTGGTGGTCGTATTTCATCGCAATGTTTATCTTTTTATTATTATTATTTAACTTTATTAGGGAGGCTTTCAGCCTTTGGCTGGTTCGCATCCATTTATCTTTTTACACGAAACAGCTGTTTTCTGTGACGACACGCCTGCTATTCGCAGTATTGAATGTTGTGCTGCCGTGACATCGGCATTCGCTTGCTCAGCAATGTTTACAACATTTTTGCTTCTAACACCAGCAAGCTGCTTGTTGTTGCAGACCTTGTATGCTTGACATCGGACTGGATGCTCAATTCAAGCATTTCTTCGAAGTTTTCTGTTACTGACACTACCACTAGCCACAACTTGAATGCTTTTTCCGATTGAAAGTTGTTGGGTTTCATGCTTGAATCGAAAGTGCCTGATGACGGCCAACTTCGACGGCAAACGGTTTCTGGGCAAATGCTTCCTCGCAATACCGGTGATGAGATCCGACTTGAGCTTGGTTTTTGGTGACATGATTTTCTTTTTTGGTTCTGCTTGCTACGGCAATCAAATGGAAACTAATAAATTGTGTGATCCCTCTCCGCTCATATATCCTCCTATTGAATTCTAGAAACTTCGAAACAAATGTTATCAAGTGATTTGCAACAAAGTAGGTGATTTGTATTTATCGATTTCAATGATAGTTTGATTTGCTGGTGGACATACTGCAAGTATTGAAATTCTGAACTTTTCTTTCCACAGTTAATCACGAATAACTTTTTAACGGTTAAAAATGAGGTTAAAGTGTTCTGCGCAAAGTTTTTTCTTATAAAATTTCCCATATTTCTGCTGCATTTGATTGATAATAGCGCTATTTTTGATACCCACTTTTGATGATTGAATGCAGTGATGTACAACAAAAAACATCATTTTAGAGAATTTCAAAGATTGTAACTAACAAATTGGACACAGAAGATGTCGTAGCAATTTTTCTCTTATAGTTTTGACCCTTGGTAATTTGCAAAAAATATAAAAGGGTGAGAAAACTGAAATTTAAAGAACTCAAAATATTTATTGGATAATAGCTATGAAAAATGGACTTTTTTCAAAAATCTCGTCGGGGCGACCTCTAAACAACATTTCCCAGAGTTGCCGCCATACAAAAGTTTATTTGTAACACCCTTAGCTATCATTTAGAGGTTGAGCCTCCAGATTTTCAGGCATAGTGCAATTTTGAGACACCCTAATGCACACAGCCAAGGGCAATACGTCAACAATGAAATTGAACGCGTTCCAATTTTATTAGGTGGCTGTTTCTTGCTGAGAGGAAGCAAAAAGAGTCAAACTCAAGAACTGAAAGAATAGTCGTTTTATATAGTTTAATAAGGTCTTCCGGGTGAGCACCCCACCACGTCCCTGAAATTGATCGTAGAAAGTTGATCCTTTGTTGACACTTTTGTTTCAAATATTTAGTGTGGGTACCCCAACTGCATTTTGAATCAAATCAGACTCCAAGGTATTTGAAAGTAAAAGATTGGGTAATATCTCTGCCCAAAAGGTTAAGACGCAGTTGAGGCCCACGCACATTAGATCCGGATCAGACGCATTGCGGCAAAGTGAAAGCTAAATCTATTGTCTAACTGTCAAGTTTACGTCAACGCAACGCAAACTGATCTAATGTGGGTGGCCCGTTAGGCTGGAAACCGCTTCCTTGTAAACACTACCAATTCAATTTGGCCGATTTTACATCCATTTCAACTACTTCTTCAATATTTAAAATAGGGGAAATGGATGTCATGTTGGCCTAAATGCCCCTAATTTGGGCCCATGCATAAATTCAGTAATCGACTAAATTTTCAAAAGCGACCAAAATATCAATTAGTACCGTCTCAATGATGTGTTCATTTAGATAAAATTGATAAACAGCAGATATTTAGCGATGGGCCCAATCTTAGATCCATAGGCCAACATTAGAGCATTATCCCCTATGTCTTTTTTTAACTTTATTATAGAGATTTTTAGCCGAAGGCTAGTTCATCTCTTATGTCTCCAAGGGGGAATATTGGAATAATGTAAATTACTTGTTTGACCGAACAATTTAATAACAAATAGCTTAGATCCAAATCCAAAGGTGAAGAGTCCTTCAGGCTAAATCACTCGAAATGTAACAATACCATTGAATGAATGAAAATTTTAATCAGTTAAGTCAACTCAGCCCATAAAATGTAAGCAATTTTATGCTGTGTATGCTCTAATGATATTTAAAAATCCCTCTCACGAAAATGTGTGCAAATTCCTCTCCCAAACTGGACTATAATAGCAAGCAATATCCAATTACTGCTATCAACAGTTAATTTTTCCCTGATGACAAATTTCGCTTGGAGAACGATAACTACACGGTCAATGAGAATAACCCAAATTTGAGTTTAGTTCACCCATCAATCGCATAACGTGCACCAACTCAGCGATGAGTAAATTTGCCTCATGTTTTTCCAGGTTTTTCCAAGTTTGTCCAGGAAGAAATTCCCGAATATGAGAAAAGTAAAGATTGTTTTCACTCAGTCTATTGGTAGTACTCCTAGACATGAGTACTGAGTGAACTAAACTGAAATTTGGGTCGTTCTCATTGGCTGTATACCCTCATAGCTGAGTCAGCATCTAATTTTCCCGCCGTTGTTGATTTCAACCATCATTAGGAAGGATAAATTAATATTTTGTTACACTTTGTGCCGTGTGTACGTGCTTGTGACTTGATAACTAATTATCTTGCGATGTGGCAGTGCCTATGTTCAACAATATAGCTCTAACTGTCTCATTAATTCATGTCGGTATGGAAGTCAACAGAAATAAATATTCAAGAGCTAGGGGAAATAGCTCTAATGTTGGCCTATGGATCAAAAGATTGGGCCCATCGATAAAAATCTCCTGTTGCTCAATGCTTCTTAGTTTCTATTAAAAAATTGTCTAAATTTGATTTTGTATGTAATTGATTTTTTTTTTGATAACAACGTTGGTTTTATGAGGGTTCCGGACGCCAGATTTAGACTTGAAGACTATCTTAAAAACTCGATTAAACTTGCAATGTTACTTGGGTAGGGACGCACAGGCCGACATTAGGGTTAATAACCCTTCGTAGAAATAATACGAGGCTGTAAATAAGCATTTCGTATGCGGATGTTGATGACGCCCTACGTGATATTTGTGATATTTTGCAAATCGTCCATTCAGTCATCACAAAATAAAACAAGCTGTCGTCTATTTTGATATTAATCTTTCAATAAATATATTAGATAAATAACCACTGTCAAGCTATATAAATTAGATAAAATAAATAACCACTTATCAAAGCTGTCGGAAAACCGTGCATAAATCAGACTGTTATCAGAAAATGAAACCTACAAATCCATCACAATCACTGCTCCACTCCGGTCCATCCTCGATAGGCCAAACTCGGTGACCGCCGGTGTCTCGATTCACCTGCTGCACTGTAGTGTCCCTCGTAGCCTCCGTTGTTCGATGACTTTGTCGGTAGATTGGAAAATACCTGAATATCCTCATCGTTCTGACGACCCTTGTGATCGCCACCGCCTTCGGTTAGTTTCTTCAGGCCCAAAATGACGGACAATAGCAGGGCCATCATCGACACACCAAGTGCCTTCATCGCGAGCATGGCCACTCCACCGAATCCAAGTGCACCGAGGACTTTGCTCATCATAACGCCCATCATCAGGACGATTCCCAGGCCTCCTTTGTCCTTTTTGCGGGCTTCTATGGAAAGATGTGGAAAACAAATCATAAAATTGCTTTAGTTTCATTCAACATGGTTTTATGCTACTTCATACGTGAAGCTTACGATTTTCAGAGCTGGTTGGAAATGCTACCTAACATGAAGCTTTAGTGTGATAATTTATAAGCTAGAGAAAGGTCTGAAGAGGATAAGTAGATAGCTCCGCTAGAGTACGGCAGTATGTAAATTGAATTGAAGTTGAAATTGAGCGATGGGCCATTAATTGCGACCGTACTAATCAAATGCACACTTCTTTACCTAACTCATACATGAACAAATGAACCGTAGCTAGAACTATTCCACAGCCTCAGACAGTATATGAACAAGTCAAACGCACTCTTTTTTTGCCTGTAGATTTGAAGAAATACTTCAATTCTCCTCATTCATTTATGTATGAGTTAGGTAAAGAAGTGTGTGTTTTACTAGTACTGTCGCAATTAATGGCCCCTCGCTCATTTTCAACTTCAATTCAATTTTAATACTGTCATACTCTAGTGGAACTATCTAATTACCCTCTTCAGAATCTAGACGAACAATTGAAATAGGCGGAACAACCAAACATAAATAATGGATTTAAAAGCAAATTTCTCGAGAATTGAAACATACCCACGTAAGTTAACAATGTCATTCACTAAAGGAAGTTTGCTCTATCAGATGCTAGTATTATATTGCGTGGATGTGGTTTGATTCTCGTGAAGTTTGCGTTTAAAGGCATTGTTTACGTTTGGTTGTTCCACTTATTTCAATTGTTGGTCTAGAAATTATCACACTAAAGCTTCATGGTGTGCATTTCCAACCAACTCTGCTCTAATTTGTTGCGTCGGGAAATTTTCCTACAATTTCAAGATTTTTTGGCACGGTGTCTCTGAAAGATAACCTTACTATAAAAAACATCAGTATCGTTAAAACAACCACCAAAATAAAGCTTCCACCCGCCTCGTACATATGAGCCTAGTATCGAAATGTTCCAGTTGTTGGAATGGAAAAAATGCCCCCAAATAAAACATTTTGCAGCTCGCCTCAAATAAAAGAGAAGCTCCTAAGATTTCGTTTGGTGGGTGTTTCGGCGATACTGAATTTTTATAATAATGTTCTATCAGAGATTTCTTGTTTGAGTAAGGTGCAAGACCAACCTTACTAGATTCAGTACATATATCAAAATATGGTGAAATTCGGAACATGAGTGATGATGGTAGATAGGTTGATTTAATTATACTTAATGGTTACAATGTGTTACTGGAACTTGTTTTTTAGGACAAAAACTACATGGAACAGCCCTAAGGGGTTGTACGCAATGGTTACGTAGGACTGCAGCTGATGCCGGCGACCGGACACCACCACCCACGGTGATTGGAACTGAATCCAATCAGTGGTTGAGGCTTGTCAACTCACCACGCGGTGATTGAATAAACACCGTTAGGTGAAACCGGATGGAATTCAACTTTGAAATCTTTGTTAGGAAAATCGCTTTTCGCAGGCCATCGGTGATAATTTTAATTATCACAGCAATAGTTGTACATTCGTGCAATTTTCAAAAGAGACATTTTGAAAAAAAAAAAAAAAGATAATGTCTTAAATATAACAGATGCGTAGAATATCTCTGATCTATTGGTGATAAAATTATTGAAATTGGTCCAGGGGCAGCTGAGTTATTAACGTTCAAAATCTTTCATAATTTTGTTACATGCTCCATTTTCGGTTTTCACAAAGTATAACCAACAATCAATACGAAACTAACGATTTTAAATTGGCTCACTACTTGACTAGCCTATTGGTCCCAAGCAAACGATTAACGTACTCTATTCTAGTCGAAATTCTAGTACTACGCAATGTTTGTTTTGATTCGCTATGAAAGTTTGACAGATAAAATGAGGGGTTATTGGTTTTTCATATGTTTCGAGGGGTGAATCGATTAGCTTGGGACCGAAGAGAGTACCAGAGCTGATCCAAAAAGTTGAACACGTTATTTCGGGACCTTCTAGTCTTAGAGTTACCTCTATGGTATAACCCCATATAGAAATCACAGACGTAGTCCTACGTCAAAAATTTAACCATATTAACACGTCACGTCACGGTTTTAAGGTAGTACCCTTATTATGAATGGCCTATCAGTATAAAATGACTCTAGGAATCTTTGTCTCGACGTATCACCCTTAATTTCGGTGTTAGGGGATATGGATGTAATGTCGGCCCAAATGCCTCTAATTTGGGCACATGCATAAATTCAGCAATCGACTAAATTTTCAATAGAGACCTAAAATATCCATAACTACCGTCTCAATAACACGTTCATCTAGATAAAATTGATAAATAGCAGGTTTTTAGCGATGGGCCCAATCTTTGTTCCATAGGCCAACATTAGAGTTATTTCCCCTTACAGTGTACTTATAAAGCCATCTCTTGATATCCTGAACATCTAGGAAGTTGCTGTTTTCGGTAAAGTTAGGCAGGTGATCAACGCTTTCTGGATGGTAGACAAATGAATTTACAATGTTCTCAAAACATGATGCTTCTGTGCATATGAACTTTTTCAATCTCGTTCATTTCGAATAACATTATGTTTATTCGGAATAATGGAATCTTGTAATTTACAAGAAGTGATTGCAAAGTGCGATGTATCAAATTTTAAATTTTTCACACGATAGTTGGATAAATCCAGGGTTTTCACACACATTTCACTCAAATTTCAACGCAAAATAATTACACGGACAAACAACAAAGATTTTTAAATATTTTATTCGGTTATAAAGACTATTCAGGAATGTGTGTAGATTAGATTGATGCAAAATTTGAATTTTTGCTCCACAGTGTTCAAACGGTTTCAAATCGGATCCTGATTAGCCTCCGAAAGTTTGAACTCATTTGATAAGAAACTGACTTGGCACAAACAATTTGAAGTTTAAATGGAAATTACTATGTCAATCAAACTTTTTGTTCAATGTCTTCTACCCATGTTTCATATTGCTTTTTCGAAAATTTCTATAACTATTCTTACGGGAAATTTTCTAAGCTACAAATTTGTCAAATATTGTTTTTCATCAAAATGTCAAATTAAATTGTTATTAATTGTTCAAGAGATTGATAATCTTATGGCATGATCAAGCAGCTGTTCTGTGGGCAACAATGTATTCTGCAGTGTGACATAGTAGCCATGATTTTTGTCCTTTATTAGACGCGCCCAGCGAATCCAAACACATAAAGCAACCAACGATACAGACAAAACGGTTGCTACGACTACCATGACAAAATCGCTCTGTAACATAGCTCGATCCGAGTGGTAGAAGGATGATGATATATTGCTTGCCTGCTTTGTTGCAATATACACGGATGAGGACAAAGCTTGATGTGAATCGAGAAAAGACATAACAAAAAAAAATCCCATTAACACACGTGTATCATTTTCGGGTTTACTTCGTGAAGCAGCTTGCCAACAATTTGCTCATTTCCTTCTACCGCCCCGAGTGAGTTTTGTCGCACGGGATGCTTGTCATGAAAAAGAACGAAGAAGAATATATCATTATTTCTTTCCACTTCTGACAAAGCGTTATTATTTGGTTCGTTGATCGCTTGTCATTTTGTCATTTGGAGATATTTTTGATTCCTTGTACGCGCCATAAACACCAATGTTGCCTGCTGAACAGTTGATTGAGAATAATCATAAGACATCACTCGAGCAGAGAATGAAAACAAATTGAAAACTAAATTTGATATTTTGATATAAGCGTTCATGATAACATATTTTGCCTACCGTGTGGTCGAGTTAACAGTAATCATAACAAAAATGAGAACTAAATGGTATATGAAGGATATCAAAAAGATAACAAATCATGTTTTCTTGATAACAAATCCATGTATGCGTTTTGATATCAGCAATTTCGTTAATAATAAACAAAATAAGTAATCAATATGTTATAGTCATATGGTAGGAAGACGAAAAATTAAAAAAAAAAACTAAATTAGTTATTATTTTGATAGCATGATATCAAATTTGCTAATCTGAAAGTTTAGAAATCTGTTGGTTGATATCAACATTCAAAATCAAGAAAGGTATCAATAAGTTTTTATTTATACAAAATAAAAACAAACCTATATTTCAATCAGTTCTATCGATATCTATCTTATATCGATAAGTAAATTAAATTCGCAGGTAGATTAATATTAATAAGTGTTGTAAATTATAACTGTACAAATCATATTTAAAGCTGAACATTGCATTAGGTCCTAAGTAAAATTGACAGATTCTCTTCGTCAACTTTCTCTTTGTATCTCCACGGCCATGAATAAGACATTCCCAGGTATTTTCAGCACACAGATCTGTAAAAGAAGATCTAGATCTAGCATCTAATACGACAAACACAATAAGAAACGGTTCTGGGCTCAAGTTATTAGCGAAAGAGTCGAAGACGAAAATAATCGATCAATGTTACTTAGGACCTCACCCAACTAACATTTTCAGCTTTGTAAGCCAACTTTTCCAGCGTTGTGCTGTAAAGTAGCTGAAAATAAGCTGCAGATACAGCTACAAGCAAAAGAGCGTTTACTCAACTTTCTCACAACCATTATTCAATTTGTGATTCGCACTGAATAACATCAGCCAATAAACGCTAATGTCACTTCTTTACACACACTAATCAACTTTACACTTGTAGCTGCAAAACAAAGCTAAGAAAGTGAATATATTACTCATTTGATGGCTTCTACACCACCAACAACTCTTGCTGAATAACATAAACATCAAAAGTGCTTTTTCAACAACTAAACAACCTGTACTCAGCTTATAAACTGCGTTAGAGCATCTTCGGAAGCATTTTCACTGTCAACTAGGTTTATTTTTAGACGTGTGCAGTTTTACAGCTTTTACTCTGCTCTTTTATAACTAGTCGAGAAAAGTGATTCATGTGCACTATTATAAAGCCTCTACTCAGCGATTTTGTTGTAGAAGGGAATGTTGATTTGTTTACATAAGTTCAAAGTGTTGGCG